CCGCGGACAGGTGCTCCGAGATCGGGTGCTGGAATTGTATAGCATGGTGATCGAGCAAGACGAAGATCCCCCGTTTTCGTGGCGACCGACGAAGCTTACCGTGCTATCCGCAGGGAGTGGCCCAGATTTGCCGCACAATTACCGCTCACTTGCAATGCTACCTGTTTCGTACAAGGTCAGTAACACACCTGAAGAGGTTGCAAACAGAAGGGGGATGCCACCTTAACGTAGCCTGGCATTCGTGGTGCAGGCACATGTACAAGGAGCAGGGCAAGGGCATATCCAAAGACCAGGCGCCCTTCGACCCACGCCGCTGGCAGCAGTGGGTCATCGACAAATTCCTGGGTGACATTGCGCGAACAACTTCCACGTGGACCGATGGTCCAGCAGCGCAGGTGTCTACGTGGACTGGGAGCGGGAGCAGAAGCTCTACCAGGAGGTGCAGAGGAAAAGGGAGGTCGCTAAGGGTGACGGGCGCGACGGGGATCAGGCGCGCAGTTCCGGGTGCCACGACGCCTGGGCTGGAAAGCGCCCGCGGCGCTGACTGTCGTCGGCCCTGCCGCGCCTGCCCCACAGCGCCACTGCATAACCTGCCAATCACTCCCACTACCTGCGCCCCGGTCCCCGATCCACGCCCCTACCTGACACCCGGCTGGGGGCTGTGTGTCCCTCTCTCCCCCTTTTACCTGCACCCCGTCGCCCTGGTGGCGCCCGCGTTCCACGTGCTTGCTACCCACCCTTGCACCTGGACCTCGTCCTCTCCTCCTTCTCCCTTCCTTCTTTCCCGCTTCCCAAGGATCTGGGACTCTGTGTCCTACCTGTACCCCTCGGCTGATTGAGATTCAAGGATCTGGGACTGTGTGTCCCCCCTGTGCCCATCGGCTGTTTCCAAAAGACCTGGGACTCTGTGTCCTCCCTGTACCCGTCGGCTGATTGAGATTCGAGGCTCTGGGACTCTGTGTACCCCCTGTGCCCATCGGCTGAATGAGATTCAAGGATCTGGGACTCCGTGTCCCCCCTGCACCCACCTGCGACGCATAGGTGCGCCAGCGACGTGCGTGACGCGCTCGCGCTGGGGCCTCGGGTCTTATCTGAACGCATTGGGGCGTGTCCCCACGTGAGCACCTCGGTGCATGCTGGCGGGATTTCGGCTGGCGCGGGGCGCCGGCCTCTCTCCTCCCTGCTCGCTTCTTCCCTCCCCGCTCGCTATCCCCCCCTCCCATGGCGGCGGCGCCCGGCGCGGCGCGGCCCCGGCCCGGTGCTGGCGCTGCACCTTGCCGCCTCGGCGGCCCCGCTCGCCCTGGGCAGCGCGGCTCAGGCCTGGCCCGCGGCAGGCGGGCACAGACGGCCCTTCTGGCCGAAGCTCAGCTCCTGGCTGCTACCTGGACGTGGATTGGACTGCCACCCCAGGCCGCTACCGACCACCCGGTGGCACAACGTTGCACGTCGTCTTCGTGGCCCTCCTCATCTCCGTGGCCTCTCCTTACCAGTTGGTGGCGCCTGTTGCGCTTCGCCTACCTGGTCTTCCTCCACCTTTCGGGCGTCGACCTGGTCGCGTCCCTCCCCACGCAGCACTCGAGGGTGGTGATTCTGGCGCGCCGTTGACGGCAACGCCACTTTGCCCTCCCTCCGGGACCTCGCCTCGGGCTCCTGTCCAAGGCGTTCCTTCTCCTGTGCAAGCTCTTCGGCGCTGCCTGCGCCCCGCGCCCTCCGGCCGCCTGAGGCCCCGCCCGCCCGCGCCCTGTCTCCCCGACTAGTGCCGTGCGCGCCCCGCCTAGCTCTTAACCTGAAGAGGCCCGCTCTCGACCCGCAGACCCCAAAAAACTGTTTCGCGCAAGGTCCTCGCGCGGGTGCTCTGCAACAGGCTGCAGCTGATCGTTCTGCGTCGGCAACCTCCAGGCCACGCCGCCGACCGTCTGGGCTTCTGTTCAGAAGATCACTTGCTTGTCTTAACGTTACGACTAGAATCCATCCGCGTGGCTGGGCCCTGTCGACATCGAGGAAGCATTCGACGCGGTCGAGCGCGGCGCCCTCTGGCGCGTCCTACGAGAGTTCAAGATGCCCGGCCCGTGCGTCCCCCCCATGCAAGAGTTTTGCAAAGCATAGTCTGCAACCGTGGCAACAGGCGTGGGTTCTGTCGTTTGCTCCGAGCAATATTGACGTCGTGAAGATGCTGGCTCCCTTGCGAGAGCGCGCCAGGCAGTGCGGATTGGAAGGGCACCTCGGCAAGACAAAGATCCTCAGTGACCGATGCTTTCCAATCTGGGGTCAACTCAATGGTTAGTGACTGCGATGTAGAATTTCCCCCTATCAGACAATCGGAGAAGTACTTCGGGTGACTTGTTTGTCTCGGAGACCATCGCGGAACAGAGCTGTCGCGGAGGATGGCCGCTGTTGGGGTCATTTGCAACAGATCCAGCATGCTCTCTGTTTGCGAAGATGCTCTTTGCCGGGTCGCCTGAGACTTTCCGACGCAGTTTTCGCGCCGACAGCCTTGTGCGCCAGTTCATGCTGGACAGCGTGGGCAAGCGCTGCATCTACATTGCAGTCGACATGGGTAAGGATGCTACGGAAAATCGCACAGGTCCCGCGTCGCTATGACGAGATGTGGGTTCCTTACGTGCGGAGATCAACGTGTTTGGGAATTTCGAAAGTTGTCAGTCTAGGTCACGAGAGCTGGGTCGACCTCCACCCGCGACGCAAGCGATCCCTGTCAGAACGCGCGCTGTCTGACACCCAAGGCACATGGTCAAACATATTCTTGTTATGGAAGCCGGATATCCGTGCGCGGGCTTGGGGGCGACTTGGCAGGCCTGTCAAGAGGTGGGCTGATGCGTAACCCATGAAACTTTTGTTCGATTGTTTTTCTTCCACGTTTCGCCATCCACGGCCTGCCTGGGCAGTTTCTTGACTGCCAGCAGGGAGCTGCTTGCGGCAGGGAGTGGGTGTCGGGCCGCTCTGCGCTGCTCTGCTCTGTCCCAGACCGTCTCCAGATCGGTCGTGCTTTTTCTCCTACCTTAGGGGTCCACCCACTGTGGCCTCTGTGGGGGCCTGCTGGGGCCAGTTCTGGGGCCCGCTGGGTATCTCGGGGCCGTCTTGGGCGCGATCGTTCCACCGAGCCCCCCCAAAGAGGCTCGACTTGGCCACCTTGGGGGCGCTTGGGCTCGTCTTCGGGCCTTCGTGGAGCCCTGTAGGGACGGTTTTGGGACGTCTTTCGGCATTCTCGGGCAGTCTTGCGGCTGTCTTGGAACCCTCTTGCGCCGATCTTGGGTCGTCTCAAGGGCTTGTCGGGGCTCTGAAGCTTCCCCGAGGCGATCGGAAGCCGAAACGCATATGACATATACCAGTTTGTTTGTTTTTCTCAGGGTTTGGGGGTGAGGTCGCAATGAATCGAATGACCCCGCACTTGGAAATCGGTTTCGTTTTCGTGTTCGTGTCGTGCGTGCGGGCGACGCGAAGCTGCGTGGGCGCGCGAGAGGAATGACCCCGCCGTCGCCACGGCGATTCGGACGCTGTGGACCGCCCCTCCGCCCCCGGTGGGCGCGCGGTGGCCCAGGGTGTCACGCCGTCGGGTCTTGTGGTTTCCCGTTGGTGTCCCGTTGGTGTCCCGTCGGTGTTCCGTCGGCGGTGAGCGGGCGGTGGCCGGGGGTGTCCCGCCTTGGTGTCGATAGTGCAGTCGCTAGTGAGATTCATAATGAGATCGCTAGAATGGGATATATAGTGAGATCTGACGTGAGATCAACAGCGAGGTTGATTGTGACATTGGTTGTGCTCGCGCTGTCTGGTGCGCAAGGAAACCTCCGTGCAGATCTCGCGGGGACAGGCGATCTCCCTTGGGGCGAGCACAATGGTACCGATCGCTGAATCCATTGGTGCTGGCCGGGAGGTCGATCGTGGGATCGATCGAATGAGATCGACAGCGGGAACGATAGTGACATCACATGGCACCGCAACGTTGTCATATTCGACGACGCGCCACCAACATCTTCATCATCACAAACATGGCATTTGCCAGCTGTTGGTTTTGTCCGTCCCACCCCCAGCCGTTTTATCACCCGAAGTGCGGCCGTTTACCGGTATGTATGTATGTTTGTTTGTTTGTTTGTATGTATGTATGCATGCATGCATGTATGTATATGTATGTATGTATGTATGTATGTATGTATGTATGTATGTATGTATGTATCTATGTATGTATGTATGTATGTATATGTATGTATGTATGTATGTATGTATGTATGTATGTATGTGTGTATATGTATACATATAGTTGGATGCATTTCTACACGTTTACACTTATATCCACACATAGATATGCATTTTCACACACATACATATACACACACATACACGTACATGCACACACACATCTATATATACGTATATAGGAACTTTGAACACACACACACGCACATATCTATTATCTATCTGTCCGCATCTGTATTGATATACATCCTCCCATACATTTACACATTCAGAAGCATGCGCATATTTCATTGCATTTGCATATGTACATACGCTTATGTATACATGCCTACACTTATACACGTACAAATACATACACTTATACGTAGATATACATGTATGCATACATATATAATATTTTATTATATTTTACATATACACATATATACATATATATATATATATAGGTATATGCACACATATACATATGTACACACATGTGTGTGTGTGTTTGTGTTTATACTCAAATACGTATACACATACTTCCCACCTACATGTGCATCATCATCGGACGCCTGGGCGCCAGGTACGATGGGCGCCGCCGCATCTGCAGAGCCCCTCCTCGAGCGACGGAGCATGGGGTCCGAGACCGAACAAGGAAGGCCAAGAAGCCCCCCTGGGATCAAATCGCGGATAGGCCGGTACATCACACACACAAAAACCAAAGACGAAACCCGACCCATTTTGACAGAAGTGGGCCGGTTTCTCCGGTGGCCCCCCGGACCCCAGTAAAAAGTTTGGAACCTCCGACGCCCTCATTGCTCCTCCACGCGCGCGATGGGAGAGGCCGCGAGCTCGCGCACACCGCGGTCGCCCGCCGCGGCCTCGCCTGCCGCCGCGCCCCGAGCGCCGCTGCCAGGTGGGCGGCCCGACCGAGGCGCAGGAGGAGGCAGGGCGCCTCCGGGGCCTGCCGCCTCAGGCGCGGACCGAGGCCGCCACGAGGAAGCCTGTCCGCCGCGCCCCGTCAGCCGCAGGATGGCATTCCTGACCGATGGCTCACCCACTGCTGCAGGGCGCGGTACAGCCCGTTGGGAGGAGCCGATCCCTGAAGCTGCACCGCCCCGACCTTGAGCATCGCCATCTTGTAGCACTTCACGACCTCGTGGCACAGGCGGCAGTGGCGCTGGTCGTGCATGTCTTTGTGTTTGAAAAACGTCACCACCTCGTAGAGGGACTGCCGGTCTGTGAACTTCTCGTGCATCTCCCGGACGAGCCCGCCAGGTCTCAGCCCTGAAGCTCGACGGAATTGGCCAGGGCCCGTGCCGTCGCCTCCACCTGGTACGCTGTGGGCGGCCCCGTCTGTGGACTTTGGGGCTCTTGCCGTGGCACGCGGCGCTGTAGGCCTTGCCCAAATCCTTCACGGCCTTGACTACTGGATGGTCGTGCAGGAGCTTGATCGTGAGGTAGGTGGCCGACTCGAGGTCTCGGATCTGCAGGTCGTGGATGAGGACGAGGCGGGCGAGCAGTTTCAGGGTCTCCTCGAAGTCGTCCAACCGCTTCGCCCCTCGCTTGGTCGCCCCTTTCGCCTTGGGCTGCACCTTGCCGCGCCCCCCGGCTGCGCCCTCGTCCTCGTCCTCGTCCACTTACGCTCCCTGCTCCGTCCTGAGGCGCCGCCGCACCCTCCTCGGCTGGAGGCCCGCCGGCCGCCGGAGCAGCCACGCCGCCAGCTGGCCCCGCCAGCGCGAGCGGCCACTGGGGAGCCTCGACCGCCATGCCGGCGCAGAAAGGGCGCAGGAGTGTGCGGGGGCGCAAGCTGAGGCCGTCGGCCCACGAAGTGTTCCTCGAAGAAGTGGCTGTAGTGCGATGGCAGCGTTGGAGACCGAGCTCCGCAGAGAGGGCAGACGATCTCAGCAGGGACGATCCACAGACCGATATCGATGACGACGGATCTTGTGACACAGCAACGCACACTCCGCATCAAACACAGCTCCGCATACTCCCTCGCCCCACGGCTCTTGACAAACGAAATCAAAGTCCCCGATAGCGATGAAAGTAGGAGGCTCACGATCAGGAAGGAATTCGCTGCCGTGCAGGGTCCACCAGCGGTGCCTAACCGCAGGCGCCACCTCCCGCGTGGGGGGGAACTGATCAGCCCAGCCTTGCACGCGCAGTACCCTTGGGTCCAATCGTAAAACTTTTCGTCGCGAAGGGCGCCAGAGGCGAGCAGCCTCATGGGGCGCATCTCCCACTCCGCCAGCAAATCCTCCTGCTCGGAGCCAACCAACAGCACCCTCACGTCTTCCACCAAGCACCGGGCCATGGGAGACGCCCCAGGGCCCAGCCGCCCGTCCGCCAAACGAATCTCCTCCAGTGCGAAAGGCAGCTGACCGAACAACGCCGTGGGCTCTATCTCGTGGTCCAAGGGTTGGCGCAGCATGCGGATGTAGAAGCCGAGACGCATGGCCCGAATCTCCTGCTCAACGTCGGCCATCTGCAGCATCTGGCGGATAATCTGGGTGGGCATCGCCCTGTGCTGGTAGCCCTCCTCCGCCAAATAACTGCGAGTAGCCCTCGCCCCCAGCGCAGACCTGCCCAGTCGGATAGCCGCGCGACGGAGCGTCGACAGCCACGACGACGTTGGCACCACCGCCGCCGCCCACGAGAGTAGGGTCCCCAACACCTTAGATCGGAAGACCTGCCGGACTGTCTCTACCGAGGCCTCGGACTTCCAGAAGCGGCCCATCTCCCAGAAACCCCTGGCGGCAGCAGCGACGCGCGCCTTCAACTCCAGCGCCTGGGCCCCCCGGTAGTGCAGCATCGGCCCCAGATACCGTGCGACCACAGAACAATTGCCCCTGACCGCCAACTTATTGCCGTAAAATGCCCGCGTCTGGGCGCGAGCGCCCGGTCCACGGAAGGCGCACATGGTGTGCTGCTTCGTGATGTTCTGCGCGTAGCCCCTCGGCTCAAGCAGACGGTCCAACAGCGAGTCAGACGCCTTGTGGTTGGCAACGACAGTGTTGTGGCACCAAGAGACGAACCGCTTACACAGATCGTCCGCGTCCTTCGTCAGGCTGAGATCGAGCACCATCTGGGAGACGATGGACCGCACCTCCAGCATCTCGGTGTCGGGCCGCATGGAGTCCGCGACGGCCCACTGCAGGGCCACAGGAGAGAAGACCTCCAAGAAGAGCGGTGGCCCTACCGAGTCGCCGATGAGCACCCCTTGGCCAGTCTTCATGCGCAGGATGCCCTCCGCCGTCTCGACCTCGCAGTGGTAGTCCCTGACCCTCTGCTTAACGTTGTCAGCGTCCTCATCCAGAAGCATCTGGTCGAGACCCTGCTCCATATCCTCCAGCGACGGGCACCGGAAAGCCTTGCTGAGGTCCCTGAAGCTCGTGATCGTCGTCAGTCCGTAGTGCGCAGCCCGCTCGGCCACCACCGCCGTCGTAACGAGGGCCCCCTCGCGCGATCGCCGGGGGACTAAGCCGAAGTCCATGGGTGAGGCCTTCTCGCGCACCGGTCGCGCCATCAGCACGGACGTGTACGCCTTGCCGACAGGGCAAGTGACGTGGATGATGCGGCCAATGTCCGCCGCTCGCTACCGCGACCAGGCCAGCGGTGCCGTGGAGTACATGCGGATCAGCGTGAAGCACTGCCGCAGGCGGGAGCTGAAGTGGTGCATACTCGGAGGCTCGACTCGATAACCGATGCCCTCGCCTCTGGCGACAGCGATCTGCGGCCCTAGGCACATCTGCCATATCGGAACAGGCGCCGACCAGGGCGGAGCAGCATGCCGGGGAGGCATCATCCTCCGCATCCGTTCCTCAAGTTCGGCTAGGTCGCGGTCGGCCGCCTCCTGAGCCTCCACAACGGGAAGGCGCCGAAGGAGAGGGCCTTGTCGTAGCTGTTCGCGGTACGGCCGCTGATCCAGCTCTGTGGCCGAGTAGCCGCCCTTGCACCCCACGCTCTGCATCATCTGCCGCCGGGCTGCAGCCGTGTGCTCCAACCTCGGTGTGGCGTAGACCCGACGTCGACCCCCCCGCGACCGCTCGCCCAGTAGTTGGGCCATCCTCCACATAGTGGCAGCATCGCCAACACGTTCCGCCTCAGCCAGGGCATCGCTCCGCATCTTGGGTAGGCGTCGCCTCTGCTGTCGCTGGAGGGTGTGCAGGCGCCTCGTGACCTCCTTCAGCTCCTCCTGACATCGGGTGAGCTGGGCATCCGCCTGCTCATCCTGGGCCTGGGGCTCTCTCTCGCGGGATTTCTGCCCTCCCTCTCGCGCTCGCCCTCAAGGGCGTAAGTGGCGCGGATAGCGGCCCGCTTCATCAGCAGGCACTTGCGAGCAGCAGTCGCACTCTCGATGTCCTCCGTGTCGTACCGCTTGAGGCCGAAGTGCTCCAGGCTTGCATCCCGCACCGCACCCGCGAGATCGTCCCACACCTCGTCGGGTCCAGCTTCCTCCTCGAGCGCCCTCGGGGGGACCAGGCTGCATTTGGACTCCAGCGTCTGGAGGAAGGTATGTTTGCCTTTGTGCTGCCTCATCGCCACCATGCACTCGTCCAAATTCCACTGCACCTGCCGGGCCTTGGGCAGCAGCTCAGGATGCATTGGTACAACCATGACTGAGACGAGCAGGAGCGTGTGGTCACGGCGCCCGCGAGCCCTGATCGCCTGTCTCCGATGGAGTAGAGCGGCTTGCAGTCGGACACGCTCGGCATGAGGGCTTGTGGGATCGCGATGATGTCGGGCCTGCTACGGTTGCCACGGCCCCGAGAAGGTATAGCCCTCGTAGAACGTGTTCACCATCGCCACGTGCCAGTCCTCGCACAGCCTCCGCCATGCGGTGCTGGAGTGGTGCTCCAGCGCAGCCGCCACGTCGCCGATCGCGTCCGACAAGGGCTTGAAAACCCCGGCCTCGGACTTGACGAGCCCCACGCCATCGTTCAAATCCGCGCAGACGAGCGGCGTCGTACGGACGGGGGCTCCCATCAGACACCATTCCGTCCAGGTGATGATGGCGTCCAGTGATCATGGCGTCCAGTGATGATTACGTGCAGGAGATCACGTACGGGGAAATGCAGGACAAGCACCAGCAAGTCGCGCCGAATCCGGGCGCCCCCCGCTCGGCCACGGATCGCAGGAGGTGGGGTGAACAGCTGTAGCACCTGGAGCCTTTTCTTCAGCATAAGGGAAACGCCGCAAGCCTTGCTTGAGTAGGCGCCCCGCCCCCACCCCCGATGCAGAGCATCGTGACGAGGAAGGGACTGGCGAGTGACGTCCGCCCCCTGCTGCCACCGCACCGCCGTGCCCTGCAGCACCACCACCTCCGTGCCCTGCAGCACGACGACTGTAGGCTCAGGGGAGGTGTGCATCGACCCCCGATCGCCCATTGATCCCCGGTAAGTGTCCGATAACCCACCCAGCCCAGGAACGTAGCGATTCCAGCTCGATGTTTCACCCTCGGAGCCAGCCTTTTTTTTGTTTATTTCTTTCGTTGCCCCTCGACGAGGAGCTTGCCACCGTAGGGGTCCTACCGGATTTAGATGTGTAGGTTACCTACGTCGCCGATTTCGGTGGCCAGGCCCTGGTTCCCGGGTGCCCGTGGGTGCCCCAGGTGCTTGGGTGCCCGGGTGCCTGGTAGCCCTATAGCCCTATAGCCCTATAGTTGCATAGCCCTATAGCCCTATAGCCCTATAGCCCTGTAGCCCTATAGCCCTATAGCCCTATAGCCCTGTAACCTTATAGCCCTATAGCCCTATAGCCCTGTAACCTTATAGCCCTATTGCCCTATAGCCCTGTAGCCCTAATAGCCCTACAGCTCTACAGCCCAATAGCCCTATAGCCCTATACACCTATGGCCCTATAGCCCTATAGCTTTATAGCCCCATAGCCCTAGAGCCCGATAGCCCTAAAGCCTTTTAGCCCTATAGCCCTATAGCCCTGTAGCCCTATAGCCCTATAGCCCTGTAGCCCTATAGGCCTATAGCGCTATACACCTATGGCCCTATAGCCCTATAGCTTTATAGCCCCATAGCCCTATTAGCCCGAAAGCCCCATAGCCTTATAGTCCTATAGCCCTATAGGCCGATAACCCTATAGCCCTATAGTCCTTGATCCCTATGACCCTATAGACCTATAGCCCTATAGCCCTATATCCTTATTGCACTGTAGTCCTATAGCCCGTGAGCTTCTTCTCCAGTATCATACTGTATAGACATAGTTGTGGACATATATGCAAGTATGTGTATTTGCATACATGCAATTATCTGTAAACGTATATATATATGTATACGTGTACATATGTATCTTTGTATATGGGTGGGAACATATACATATATATATATATATATGCATAGACATGTGTGTACATGTAGACATGTCCGTATGTGCGTATTTCTGTACGTACGTAATGGAATGTCTGTAATATATGTAGGTGTTTTATCTAGCTATAACCGTACGTGTGTACGCATGCATGTATATATGTATATATATATATATATATGTATGCATGTATGCATGTATGCATGTATGCATGTATGCATGTATGCATGTATGCATGCATGCATGCATGCATGTATGCATGTATGCATGTATGCATGCATGTATGTATGTATGTAGGTATGTATGTAATCTCATGCACTTTATGTATGTTTATAGGTGTATGTGTATGTGTATGTATGTGTACATGTTTTTATACATATATACATATATATATATATGTTTAGGTATATGTCTATGTATTTTTTTACGTGAATGTTTATGCACATGCATACGTATTTGTAGATGTAGGTGTATATGCATATGCGCATGCACATGGACATGTACATATTTTTATATATGTACTTGTATATGTAGCTGTACATGCATATGTACGTCCAGACATCTATGTATATGCACACGTAGATGTTCTTGTACATGTATGAGTACATGTGTATGTACATGTGTTTATAACTGTGTTTGTGTATGTACATGTATGTCTGCATGTATATGTATAGGTGTATGTACACGTTCACGTATACGTATGTGTACTTGTACGCATATGTGTGTATATATGTAAATATGCATGCATATGTATATGTATATGTATTTGTATATATGTATGTGTACGTATATGTATATGTGTGTATTCATGTTTATGTATTTGTATCTGTATCAAGAACATGCATTTGTATATGTACTTGTATATGTACACACACATATATATATATATGTAATTGCATGGGTATGATGATAAGTATACTTACATGTATATGTCTACGTGTATGTATACATATATGAATGAATTCATCTACGTATGCGTGTATGTATGTATGTATGTCCGTCTGTCTGTCTGTCTGTCTGTCTGTCTGTATGTATGTATGTATGTATGTACGTATGTGTGTGTGTGCGTGTGTATGTATGTATGTATGTATGTATGTATGTATGTATGCCTGTGTGTATGTATGTATGTATGTATGTATGTATGTACGTACGTACGTACGTACGTACGTACGTACGTACGTATGTATGTATGTATGTATGTATGTATGTATTGGGGTACCAGGGCAGATGTCGATGTGACCTGGAGGGCGTTCCAGGCCTACGTTGTAACATGATGTGGCCTCAGATGTCTGACCTGGAGGGCGGCCCGGCCTTCGTTGTAATTGGTGTGGCCCAGTGGGGGGGCGGCATTCGTTGTTACTTGTTGTGGCCTTGCATATGTGGCCCCCACGATGGCCTGGCCTGCGTTGTAACCTGGTGTGGCCCCGATGCGGCCCTCAGTTCAGAGGCTTACTAAGGGCCTCTCTGGCCTGGAGGGCGATTCGGTTTTCGTTGTAACCCTTTGTGGCCCCTTCCCTCCACTGCCGTTTCACGCCCCTCGAGCTTCCCTCCGCCTCGCCTCCCCGCTCCCGCCCACTATCTCCTTCCCCGATGTTCCATAATTCCTTCCTCCTCGCTCCTCTCCCCACCTCGGCCCCCTTGCCCTCTAACCATTCTAATTATCCTCTCCGTCGATTCCACGTTCCCGCCCTCTTTCCCTACGCCAGTTGGGCGCCTCTTAGGACCTCCTGAGAGCTTCCTTCTGGGCCTCTTGGAGATCTCCTGAGGGCCTCCTCGCGGGCTTGCTTGGGTGCCTCTGGGGGGCCTTTAGGGCTTCTTGGGGGCCTCTTTGGCTGTCTTAAGGCGTTCCTGGTTTGCCTGACGCTGTCGGAAACCGTCGCGGGAATTTCTGAACCGACTTGCGGCCCTGTTTGGGCGCTTCAAGGCCGTCTTAGAGGCTATCTTGGGCGTCTCGGAAGCCTCTTAGGCCGTCCTGGGGCCCTCTTGGAGCCGTGCTGGGGCTCTCGGGCTGTCATGGGGCGATCTGAGAGGTCTTTCGGGTGATGTTTGGGCGATCTTAGGGGATTCTTGGGCCCAGCATGACTGCCATCCTCCCCCTCAGTCGGCAAATGGTGATAGAGGAAGCCCTTCAAGAGCACACAAAACTGAAGTCGAGGTTCTACTCAGGAGGCCTTGAGCCTTTGGGATGTTCGGAAGTCTCCCGAACGTCTCCGGATTTTTTTTGGGAGCCGTCGACCGCCTTCGGAAATCCCTGAACACCCCTCTCAAAACCGAATCCTCCTCATGTAGGTTCAGGTTTGGTCAGGTTTCAACTCCTCGCAGGTTGAATTAGCCATCGGCACCAGCCTAGTCAAGGGCAGGCTGGCCCAATCCCGTCTAGTCTGGCCAATTCGAGCTTGGCTTGTCTTATGATTTGGTCTCATAGGTTTTTATCCTGTTGATTTCAAGCATCTTCTGCCCGCGCCCAGTATGTGTCCTCCTTCCTCCTTTTCTCCTGGGACTTGTTGCCGTAATTTCGGCCACGTTCGCAGGACAGCCTCCGTCTACTTCGCGTGCATGTGCGGTGCCGCTGCGCTTTGCCTTATTTCTTCACCGCTGTTCGGCCATGTGGCGTGGGCCATTATGCCGCGGTGGTCGTGTTGTCGTTCACCGTCCGAGGCCCTGGGACCCTGCTGGCCCTCTTGAGCTCCCTGCAGGGGAAAAAAACAATCTTCTGCCCGCGTCCAGGAAAACTTTCCAGGCGTGGACACCTATCTGGGGCGTGTCGTGCCTCGAGCTTCCGAGGCTGGGGTTTATGCACATACAGCGCCTTGGGAACCAATCTTCCTGGACCTAGGGAGGCGGTGGATATGGATATACTCGGGCCCCTGGGGGTCCAGATATACCCACTTTGAAATCGGCGGCGCAGAGGGTCCTCAAGCGCGAGCAGCAGACGGAAGTGCTAATTGCGATCGAACATCGTCGATGGCACAGTGTGCAAAACGTCGCACACTGACGAGTGCACCAGATGAACCCACACACACATCGGATGTAAGATGCTGGTTGGGCGAACGCTCTGTCTGCGGAAGGGAGGGTCTTCATCCACGCTGTCGTGTGCGCGGACAGCGTGATTTACGAGGGATCGTGGAACTGGGAGCGCGAACGCAGCGTGATTTACGAGGGATCGTGGCCCTGGGAGCGTGGACGCAGCGTAATCTACGAATGATCGTGGCCCAGGGAGCGTGAATTTCGTTAATTTACTAGGGATGTGACCCTTGGAGCGTGAACCCAGCATAATGTACGAGAGATCTAGGCCCGAGGGATCGTTGCCGACAGAGCGCGGACGCAGTGTACTGTACGATGGATCGTGGCCGGTCCTATCGTAATTGGTTCCTCTCTGAGTCCGTTACATGTGGCCCCTTTTTGTATCCGCGGGGCTCTGGGGGAGCGGGGGGGAGGCAAGCCCAGTTTTTCGGAGCAGAAAAATGGACCTGCCCGGGAGGGCGGGGAGGAGTAGGGAGCAGGAGGAAGAGGAGGAGGAGGAGGAGGATGAGGAGGACGAGTAGGAGGAGGAGGAGGAGGAGGAGGAGGAGGAGGAGGAGGAGGAGGAGGAGGAGGAGGAGGAGGGGGCCCACTTCGGAGCCGTCTGGAGCTTAATAGTAGAACACGCAGTATGCGCGCAACAACATCTGTTTGAGTTTGGAGAATTTGGGCCCCTAGGGGCCGTTCCGTGGACCATCTTCGGGCCATTGGGAGCGCATCGTGAGGCCCCATGTCTTACCTTCGAGCCCCCTTGGGCGTCTAAAGTGCTTGGTATGCCGTCTTTGAAATGTTCGTTCAGCGGGGAAGCCGGTGGGGGACATCAGTGCGGGAGGTGTGGGTGGGGGGGCAGCGACTCGGCACGATCGACGACGAACGAGAAAAGAGGCCTCGAGCTCAAGAACACAGCTGTGCAAGACAGTGACGGCAAGGCCCCTAACCCTGTGGGCCAGAGGAACATACAACACACAGATCCAGGTCTTGCCGACGCACGGATTAATCGCATAGTGAAAGTGTCGCTTGGGGATCAAAGCAAGCAATAACCCGTTCGTGTGAACATCGTTTGGGGGAGTAGTCGATCAGCGTGAGGTAAACGTTCCATACAGCTCTCCTTCTCCCTTCCATGGCCATCTGTGCTCAAGACTCGCGAGGTGAGCGCTTCGTGGTCTCACATTCGCAAGTTAATATCTACTGGTACACTTTCTTCTTGGCTTTCGTCAACTCAACCATGCCACGTTTACTGACCTTTGCGGTGGCTTGTGCGCTCGATTCCATTGTGGGCGCCGAAATGCAGTTCATGCCGATGTCAGTTCATGGACCGAACGGTTCAGAGGCGGCAGCTCTGCGGACTGGATTCAAGGACCCAGGGCTATTACTCTTCAACGTGATTTTGATTATTCCAGATTTCGTAATAAAGGGAGGGGGGTCTCATTTCGGGGGGTCTTTTCCAGGCTATCGTGGAGGGCCTGGGGGGGTCTGGGGACGATGTTTTGGAGGGTTCTCCCACGGGGGAGGTCTGAAATGGCTTGTCTTGGAGGGTCCAGACCCCCTCCCTTTTATTACGAAATCTGGAGTAGTATTGAGCCTGCAGAGCGGGAGTCACTGCGGGCCTCCAGGAAGAAGCTATCATGTAAATCTCGCAACAAGCGAGCGGGAGGAGGATGAGGGGACGGACCATCAGGTGGAGGCATCGGAACTCTCGACCCATTCGGTGGCTTGTTTTTATCTGGGTTCCGTTGGATTTACGATGGACCTGCTCAGTTTGGTTTCGGAATTCGTCTCGGTTCGTATTGTCTCGGTTCGTCGTGTCTAAGTTTGTTGCGCTTCGGCTCTCCGCGTTTCGGTCCGTCCACTGTCGGTGCGTGCCGTTTCGATTTGGCCTCGCCCTTTCTCGGTTCGCCCCGCTTCGGAATCGAACGTGCGAGCAGGCGGCCCGAGTTCAAGATCCCGATCCATTCGGCCAGGATTCGGATGCCAAGGGCGACTTGGTCCACACCGCAGTAAAGCACTCATGGCGCCAACATTACAGACCGGCTTTCGTTCGGAAAACAATGGGATGGTCCCAAATTGCCCTGGAGAATGACGTTCCGGATTTAGTGCGTTTTTTTTTGCCAGGAATGAAAACTACAAAGCATCCACGTGAAATTCGTTTCGTTTTTCGCTCGCCGTTTCGGGGTCCTGCATTGGCAGAAATCCATGCAAAAATCCTCTGCAGCACGTCTGCAAGGTCGGTGCAGTGAACGCACAGCACAGTTCAACATAGCATGACGCAGCACAGTTCGGCACAGGACGGTTCGATCGCCATCTGCGCCAGGATCCACGGCCCTGGGGGCGCACATCCCTAGTAATCTGCGAAGGGGTCTTGGCTCTCGGAGTGCGGCTCCCTCGGCAGGAGACGCTGTGTAGTTTCCAGAGGGTGAACCAAACCGTATTCGGCTCGTTCCAGTCTTGGTTCATCTTGTCTCGATTCGATGAGGGTCGGTTTGGCCTCAGTCTCGCTTCGTACCGTGTCGACTCGTTTTGTCTCACTTCGTCGCGTCTCTGTTCGCCGCGTTTCGGTCCATCCATAGTCGGTGTGTCTGGCCTCGGTTCGATTCTGGTGATGTGTCCGCGCCACTCTGAGGCAGCAGTGTGGCCAGCATCAAGGCGGAGGCACCCTTCGGAGGAATGAATATGGCCAGCGCTGCGGCGAGAGCGCCGTTCCTCCTCCATACTCCTGCCCTCCTCAACTCGGCCGCCGAGGCCGATTATGTGGTCATTGCTCAAGATGGCTGCAAAGACTATCAGGGCAGGGAGAGTGGTTGGCTGACCTCAGGCAAACCGTACACTCCTGCAACGTGCGCGATTGGGTGCGCGACGTATAACTACTTTACCATTGCATGGAAGGACTCCAACTGCAAGTGCGCGGACGTCTGTGTGGACGAAAATGGGGGACACACATCCTATGCTTTTCAGGTGCGTGCACGTGTCGTCTTCGTCGTCGTTAGCGTCGCCGTCGCTGTCGCTGGCGTCGTTTCCGTCGTCGTTGTCGTCGTCGTTGTCGTCGTCGTCGTCGTCGTTGCCTCTGTTGTCGTTGTCGTCGTCGGGGTCGTCGTAGTCGGGGTCGTCGTCGTCGTCGTCGGAGTGATCGTTGCGCGGTCTCCGTCGTCATCGTCATCGTCGTTGTCGTCGTCGTTGTCGTCTTCGTCGTTGTCGTCGTCGTCGTCATCGTCGTCGTCGTCGGAGTCGGAGGGGGGAGGCTAGGGGGGAGGAGGGCGGAGGGGGTCAGAAGATGAGGGGGAGGTGGAGGGGTGGGGGGTGGGGCCCCGGGAGGTGAATAATGAGGAGGATGGAACTAGCAGGAGGGAGGGGGAGGGAAGGCCGATGGCAGAGACGGCGTCGATGAAGACGGTGGCGGCGGACTAGAACGGAGATTCGGAGGATGAGGGGGATGCGGAGGAGGAGGACGAAGAGGAGGATGATGAGGAGGAGGTGGTTGTGGCGGAGTCGGTGGCGGAGGAGGACAGGGACGAGGAGGAGGAGAAGGAGGACGAGGAGAAGGATGAGGAAGAGGAGGAGCAGGGTGGTTGGTGGTGGTCACTGCATAGGGGACACAAATCCCGAGCAGAGCAACACGCACCACGACCACGATGACGACGCCGACGACGACGACGACCGAGGCGATGCGCGCTGACGATCCGCACCGAAGCGCGGATTTGGAAAAGGGCCCACGACGAGGAGGCTGAGGATGATGAGGACGAGGACGAGGACGAGGAGGAGACGGAGGAGGAGGACGAGGGGGAGGAGAGATGAGGAGGTGGATGATGATGATGATGCTGATGATGCTGCTGCTGCTGATGATGATGATGATGCTGCTGATGATGACGATGAGGATGCTGCTGATGCTGATGATGATGATGATGATGATGATGATGATGCTGATGATGATGATGATGATGATAATGATGATGACGATGATGATGATGCTGATGATGATGATGATGCTGATGATGATGATGATGCTGATGATGATGATGCTGATGATGATGATGATGATGATGATGATGATGATGATGATGATGATGCTGCTGCTGATGATGATGATGATGATGATGATGCTGATGATGATGATGATGATGATGCTGATGATGATGATGATGATGATGATGATGATGATGCTGATGATGATGATGATGATGATGATGATGATGATGATGATGATGATGATGATGATGATGATGATGATGATGATGATGATGATGATGATGATGATGATGATGATGATGATGATGATGATGATGATGATGATGATGATGATGATGATGATGATGATGCTGAGGAGGAGGAGGATGAGGAGGAGGAGGAGGAGGAGGAGGAGGAGGAGGAGTGAGCTGAAGAAGAGGAGGACGATAATGCCCTCATGGGTTCTCTTGGGGTCATCCTGGGGAACCTTGCCGCACGAGGAGGAGGAGGAGGGGGAGGCAGGGGTGGTCGAGCAGGATGGGCATGGCATGGGAAAGTGTGGGGAGGTAAAAGCGAGGAATATGAGGGGTGCGGGCGGGGTGATGGAGGCGGAGCCTGATGGCGCACCTGTGCACACTTTCTTTTCCTCCGTTCTCTGATCCCCTCCACCTCTCGGTCTTTTAGGATTGTAGGGCTGGAGGTTCAGAGAGTCTTGCGGCTGCAAGGTTGCAGGGTTGTAGGGTGAGGGGTATTGGGTTTTTAGGACCTGAGGGTTCCATGTATTGATGGCGTCAGTGTCTTAGGGAGTCATGGCATTTGGTGCTCGTGTCTTCGTGTGTTTGGGTCTTCGGACTGTGTTGGGACAGGAGGAGGAGGAGGCGGAGGAGGAGGAGGGAGAGGATGGGGGAGGCGGAGGAGCAGGACGAAGAGCATGAGGATGAGGAGCAGGAGGAGGAGGATGAGGAGGAGGAGGAGGAGGAGGAGCAGTGGAGGTGGAGGCTATCGGTTCTCAGGGCTCTGCGGGATGAGGACATCGTCGGCTCAGCGGAGGAAGGGGGGTGGGGGGTGGGGAAGCGGAGGAGAAACGAAATCGTCGGCTGAGTGAAGGAGGGGGAGGGGGATGGGGAGGGGTCTTGCTGCTGCGCGCCCGAACGCTCGGGCGCGGTTTGGCGGCCGCCTGGGGGCAGCGAGTGAGGGAGGAGGGTGAGGAAGGGGGCCAGGGCGGACGAGGTTGATGAGGCCGAGCGAGAAGAGGATGAGGAGGAGGAGGAGGAGGAGGAGGAGGAGGAGGAGGAGGAGGAGGAGGAGGGAGGAGGAGGAGGAGGAGGAGGAGGAGGAGGAGGAGGAGAGGAGGAGGAGGAGGAGGAGGAGGAGGAGGAGGAGGACATGAGGAGGAGGAGGAGGAGGATGAGAAGGAGGGGAGGAGGAATATAAGGAGGTGCCGACCTTGCTAACACAGCGGGGTCGACTTCTGCTGATTCTGGAGCTCATTGTACGGCTCAGGCACACAATTTCCCCCCCCTGGAGCTAGATGAATTCTAGTCTCGCTGTGGGTGTTATTTCTGTTCTGCGGCTGTGGCCTAGTTTGCAGAACCAGTTTAAAAGAGTTTGGGTGCCCGGGAGGACCAAGAGGCCCCTCCCTGCTCGGAGTTGGTACATTCTCATCCACCATGGCGGGTTTTTTCGATGTAGCAGTTGCCTCCAACTCACGGGACCGTAGGCAACCTCAGAGTGAGCGTCGCCTAACCCCACCATGCTTGATCTTCTAGGGGAGCGCGGTGCGGAGAGGCACCCTTTGCATCGCGCCAGGGTGGTGGAGGCGGACGCTCCGATCGTTTCCGTGTCGCCCGTGGACGGCTTGCCTCCCGCAAGACGAGCTCGCGTTTGTTAAATTTTTGCGAGCCCCCTCACAATTCATCGGAGCGTTCGAAAGCTCCTCATGGAGGCTCTTTGTCTTCCCCTCCTTCGGCCACAACCTAGCAGTCCCCGGGATTCCATATGTAGTCGGGCTTCGGCTGTTCAACGAATGATCAGGCGAGGTCTGCGAGGAGTTGGAGGAGTTGGAGGGGGAGGAGGAGGAGGAGGAGCAGGAGGAGGAGGAGAAGGAGGAGGAGAAGGAGGAGGAGGAGGAGGAGGAGGAGTAGGAGGAGGAGGAGGCCTACGCCCAGAGGGCTGGTGGGATTAGCACGTACGTTCAAGATTCGTGGATGTTGCGCCTACGTCTTCTTCGTTATTGTAACGGGAAGCTAGGGCCAGGGCCCCCCCCGGCCAGATGACGCCCCCAGCCTCTTGTGCCATCGTGGGCGCTCTCAGACCGCAAGGGTCGGAAATCTACAATCGTTTGCAAACCACACGGCGATCACTGTTTTTTTCCAGTCGGGGGCCTCTGGCGCGTCCTCCTGGGGCACTTCAGGGTTTCTGGGGAGCCTCTTTAACGTTCTTGGGGCCGCCCTTCCGAAGGCAATACCAACGCCAGCACCAACGCCAGCACCAACGCCCGCACCGACGCCCTTCCCGACGGCGTTCCCGACGGCCTTCCCCACGCCCTACCCGACGCCCGCGGACGCAGGCGCCACAGGCGCGACTGCCATTGGCGACCCCCACCTTCAAAACGTTCATGGCGAGCGGTTCGATTTGATGACGCCGGGCAAACATGTTCTGATAAACATCCCTCGTGGAACGAGCGCTGAAGATTCATTGCTTCGCGTGCAGGCCGATGCGCGCCGATTGAGTGGGCATTGCGCGGACATGTACTTTCAAGAATTAAATGTTACAGGGTCTTGGGCAGAGGCTAAACAAGCCGGAGGATATCGTTTCACCGTATCGCAAAGTGCAGCCGAGCTTCCACAATGGGTTGCTTTTGGTGCGGTTCAGTTGAAGGTCGTTCATGGACATACGGACACTGGCCTCTCATATTTGAACGTGTATGTTAAGCATTTAGGGCAAGCAGGGTTTGCCGTCGGAGGTCTGTTGGGGGAAGACGATCACACAGACGTAATCACCCCTCCAAAAGGATGTGTGATGCGTGCGGAGCTTCATGAGTCTGTGTACTTGCACGGTCTTAGTCCTTTTTCGCAAGCTGTGGCAATTGCATCCTTCGCTTGATACTTTTGCTGCCGCAATTCTCGATGCGTTCCCTTTTGATCGCAACTGCCGCCGTCAGCACTGCGTCTCAGCATATTCATGCCAGAATTCGGGCCACTGCCCATCGCCATCGCCCTGTGGCCGTAACCTTAAAGCTGGTACGCTCGAGAGACTCCGGATCGCTGGCGGCGGACACAAATTGCGCGGCTCGCTTGATACTAGCGTCAGAGATCTTCTTCTGAGTGAGGAAGGGGAGGGTGAGGACGGCTCTGCGCTAAAGCTTTCATTTCTAGCAACCAGGCCAGGCTACGCCCCCTTCGTGAGGGGGAATCCTCTTGATCTGTGAGTGATTCGGTGCGGCCCCACTGGTCCAGTCAAGGGGGAATTCGATCATCCTTGTAGGAATCGTTCTCATCATGCTTTTCATATCTCTCCTACGGGAGGAGGAGGAGGAGGAGGAGGACGAGGAAGAGGAGGAGGGGCAATGGCGCTCGGGCCCTGCCACGAGGGGCACGCTTGGGCCTGACGAGAGCACTCTTGTGCCCTTCGGAGGGCTCTTGGCGACCGGTCGGAGGCATTCGGGGCGCCGCCGTGCATTTCCGGGGGCGCCGCTGTGCAGAAATCTCTCCCGAGGCGGCTCGGTCGTCCCCCCTGGGGGCGGTCCGTTCAGGTCTCGGGGTCGTCCTGGGAACCTCTTGTGGCCGTTCGGAGGCATCCAGGGCCATCTCGGGTGCCTCTGGGGGGCTTTCTGTGCTATCTGATGGGCTGCATGGACTCCTTGATGCGCCCCTGGGAGGTGTAGGGCTTGCATCCAATCGCGCTGGGGGGCCATTAACCGTTCAATGGGGTCCATTAAGCCAAAGCGCGGGTGAGGTTAATGGACCTGCCTGCCCAGGGCAAGCCCTTCCACTCTTTCCAGCACGGGGCGACGACAACGACGACGACGCCGATGACAACGAGGACAACGGACGCGACGAGGAGGAGAATGACGACGAGACCATACGGGAGTCCATACGGGAGACCATATGGGAGGCCATCTCGCTCACTCCCACCCGCCCCTCGGGGGCCTTCCGCGGACTATCGAAGACGCCCACGGCGAATCACCGCCGCCCCCTGCCTTTTGGAGTCGCCCATGTGGGCGAGCGTTGTGGCAAGAGTTCTGGGAGGAGGAGGAGGAGGAGGAGGAGGAGGAGGAGGAGGAGGAGGAGGAGGAGGAGGAGGAGGAGGAGGGGGCATCTTGGGAGCCTCTGGTGGCACTCTTGGGGTCTCCTGGAAGCTTCATGGGAGCCTCTTGGAGGCATCTTGGAGGCCTCCTTAGGCCTCTTGGGGGCCTTTGGGGGCTTCTCAGGGGCTTCTTTGGCCGTCTTAGGGCATTCCTGGCCCGTCTGACGCCGTCGGAAGCCGTCTTGAGGGCCCCTCTGGGCCGTCTTGGGACCCTCTTGGGGTGCTCCAGGGCCGTCTTGGAGGCCATCTTGGGCGTCTTGGGGGTCTCTTGGGCCGTCTTGGTGCCATCTTGGGCCGCCTTGATGGCTTCCTGGCCCGTTGACGCCGTCGGAAGCCGTCTTGAGGGCTTCTCTGGGCCGTCTTGGGGCCCTCTTGGGGTGCTCCAGGGCCGTCTTGGAGGCCATCTTGGGCGTCTTGTGGGTCTCTTGGGCCGTTTTGGGGCCCTCTTGGGGCCGTGTTGGGGGCATCTTGGTCCGTTCTGGGGCCATCTTGGAGGCTTCTTGGGCGATCTTGGGGCGATGTTTTTGGGCTCTTGGGCCGTCTCGGGCCGTCGGAAGGCCGAGCAGAAGCAAGTGCCAAAATCCTTCGAAAACCGATGGACAATAAATGATTTTGGCCTCTTCAGGCCTTCCTGGAGGCCCTCTTGGAGGCCTCTTGCGCCGTCTTGGAGACCTTTTGGGGGCCTTTTGGGCCATCTTGGAGGCATCTTGGGCCGTCGTGGTGGCCTCCTGGCCCGTCTGACGCCTTCGGAAGCCGTCTTGGGGGCTTCTCTGGGCCGACCTTGGGGCCCTCTTGGGGTGCTCCAGGGCCGTCTTGGAGGCCATCTTGGGCGTCTTGGGGGTCTCTTGGGCCGTTTTGGGGCCCTCTTGGGGCCGTCTTGGGGGCCTCTTGGTCCGTTCTGGGGTCATCTTGGAGACTTCGTGGGCGATCTTGGGGCGATGTTTTTGGGCTCTTGGGCCGTCTCGGGCCGTCGGAAGGCCGAACAGAAGCAAATGCTTCCAAAACCCTTCAAAAACCGATGGACAATCAATGATTTTGGCCTCTTCAGTTTGAAGGGGGCTGGAAGGCCCAGCCAGCAGCTACGCCTTAGGCGGAGCCAAGCTCCAGCTCTGTTGTACCGTAGTAACGGTAGTCCCCGTATGAGAGGAGATGCCATCTCAAGCAATAGGAAGGTCCTTTTGGTCTCGATAGCGATTCTGTGCCTCGCAGTGAGCCACAGTCAACTTTGGGCGGCCGGCCGCTTGAGCCGACGCGGCCGCGGGCGCACGCTCGCTTCCATTCCTTACGTCCCTCAGCTCGCTTTAGAGTCGGGGGGGGAAGGGAGACGAAGCGTGAGCCCGTCGCCCCTATACAGCAGGCATAGCACCTAACCTGCACAAGGACAGAAAAGGAAGCGGGCCTAAAGGAAGGTGGACCCGCTAGCAAGTTGCCTCGCATGTATATGACGTGCTCAGCAGGCGGCGTCAGAACTTGATGTCTGGCCGGCCCGATATGGAGTATGTCTCTTCAGGCCATGTTCGAAGGTTTGTATACCTCCTATGACTTGTAGGAGCATTTCTCTGTCGATGCTCCCCTTGGTGTGGCCATCCGCAGTCATATCGCGGGTATCACACCACTGAATGCTGTGCACGATTCCACGCTCCATCATCTGTCGTATCCAACTGATGCGTCCTCAAAGGGTACACTCAGTCGGCTTCTTCAAATATTTGCTTGACAAGGACTTAAAACAGACTCAGCATTGATGGTCAAAGTGACCTTTGATGCTCAGGCCACCCAACTCAACTCAAATATATCTTTCAACTGAGTCGGCGTGACCGGCCCCGCGTGGAGCTCGTGCAGAGTCACAATCGTGGGGTCACAGTCCTCCATATTATGGGCTGCTGCTAGTGTCTCTGCTGAATAGCTCGAGCGGACCTGCAAGCGGTGAGACTTGCAGTGCGCATCAATCAAGTGAACGACAGGCTTACCAGATAACGTGTTTCCACGTCGTAGCAGGTTTGCCCCGCGAATACCATAGCCTTTGACGTCGTCTTCGGCGTCTCCACTGAGGCGTCGATATCTTGAGTCGCTATGTAGGTCGACCTCGCCCGTGGGGTTCATCGCCTGGTAGACGATCTTCTTCGGCCAGGCCTGTAGCTTTCTGGTGATCGCGTTCAGTCGTCGTACTTGAATGTTGTTCGGTTTTTGGACACGTTGTAGAGATACAACATACACCAGTAACCGCACCTGGGTGATTAGTGCGCATGCCAGCGCACCCTCGAGGCTGACGAACATGTCTGCCGCCATCTTGGTTGCCTGAGCGTCAGCGTAGGCGCCGGTTAGCTCGGGATGTTGTACAGGACGGAGCTGCTTGATATATTCATCTGGATCCAAAGTGACATTGCCGTCGTCGTCCTTGGTGTATCTCACAGCACAATTGGGGTATTTGTGCTTGTTGAGTTTACACTTACCAATGGCATCTTCACTGCATTCGACATGTTTGTCAATGGTGTCCTCAGTGCCGGCCATATTAATGTCAGCAACATGCTTGGCCGTGAGCAAGTTGTTCCTGGTTTGAACTCCTCATCGTAGGACGTGGGTCGGAGGCCAAATCCTCTGTGTGGTTCTTCTGAGCTTAAGTGAGAAAGCCCGTGGGGCGTCTTTAGTGCCTGTGCCTGGTTTTAAGCACTGTAGGCAGTGCTTTGACTCGTCGTAGTGCTCGAATCCTGGGGGAGTCCGGGGCACTGTGGCCGATCCAGGCGGCAAAGTAAAACGCGCCACGCGTTCTTGTTCACCAGTAGCCTCAGCAAGCTCCGGATAGGTCAATCCCTTCAGGAAGGCCATGTTGATGTCGAGGGAAGCAATGGCCCACTGCTTCTTGCACGCTGCCGTGCTAGCGAGTAACCTCTGGCTTGGCCGTCTTGCTGTTCCCGAACATGTTTCTACGTCGAAAGCTTGAAGGTCCATGAGGCCTCGGAGAACCATGCGCAGTCGGATGGTACGTTCCATCTCGCCCTTCTCGTTCTTCACGAACTTCCATTAGTGCACGCATCTCGAAGTCATGATGTTCGACGCCTTGGCTATCTTCTGCATCTTAAAGCATTTGTTGTCGAACCATGTTTTGAGTTCAGTGTAGAGGCCTCCGATACTTTATCAGGATTTTCATAGTGGCTCTTTCTTTGGAGACGAAAAGGGTCGCGCGCCGAAATCCATACCAGACGAAATTGAGTTTTTTTTCCTGGAGTTTCAGTGTGCAGGCGCGCCCTGCCGCGCGGTGGTTTCCAGGCGCGCCTTAGAGCGTGCTGACGCATAATGCAAGGCATTCGCATTGCACGTTGCGCATGCTATCGCGTGCAAATCACGCACGGCTTGAGCTACTTCGCAGACGCTTTCTGGCGAGGGGTTTCGAGGGCCCTCTCAGGGCCCGCTGGGGTCGCCGAGTGCCGAGAGCTCCCGGCAACCATTGTCGACTGTTGGCAAAAGCAACGTCGCCGAAATGGCCGCCGATAGAGCCGTCGAAAGGGCCGCCGAGATTGCCGCCGAAGGGGCCGCCGCAAGAGCCGTCGGAAGGGCCGCCAGAATTGCCGCCGAAATTGCCGCCGAAATTGCCACCGAAATCGCCGCCGAAATTGCCGCCGAAATTGCCGCCGAAATTTCCGCCGAAATTTCCGCCGAAATTCCAGATGGCTCCGCCGAAAAGAGGCCGAATTTGACCTTGGCTGTGACTCTATGCTTGTGTCTGCGGCGTCATCGTGCTTCCTGGAACAGCGATTTCGCTTGCGACGGGGCAGTGAAAATTTCGGCGGCTGAATTTCGGCGGCGATTTCGGCGGCTGAATTCCGGCGATTATTTTGGCGGAGTTCACAATTATTGCGGCGGCACTTTCGGCGGTGAGTTCGGCGGCAAGTTCGGCGGCAAGTTCGGCGGCAATTTCGGCGGCAATTTCGGCGGCGATTTCGGCGGCAATTTTGGCGGCAATTTCGGCGGCGATTTCGGCGACGATTTCGGCTGCCCTTTCGGCGGCCCTCCTGGCGGCCCTTTCAATGACCATTTCGGCGGTTTTGCTTTTGACAGCTGTCGACGAATGCTGCTGGGAGCTCGCAGCACTCAGCTGCGGCAAAGAGTCGATGTGCGGCGACGCAGGCTGACCTGACCTCAGCCCGACGATGATTGTAACATGTGTTATCTTGTGGTTTTGGCGGTGATGATGGCGACGGCCGCGGTAGTGTT